CTGAGGTCCGAATTCATCTTAGTTTCGATTTCTGAAATAAGTTTGGAGGAAAAACATAAAACGGTGTCATCAGCGTACAAAGTAATGCTACAAGATTCAAGAACGTTTGGTAAGTCATTCATATAAATCATAAACAATAGCGGGCCCAAGATTGAGCCTTGGACAACTCCGACAGATAGTGTGTCTGGGTCAGATTGAGCTCTGCCACAGCAAGTAACTTGGTTTCTGTTGGAAAAGAAAGAATCAAACCAGTTCTGTGCGGTATCATCCACACCAAAGCGAGACAGTTTACGTATAGCAGGATGGAGTGATTCACGGTGTCGAACGCCTTTGTCAGATCTAAAAAGACGGCCCCTGTAACATTGCCGTTGTCCATGCCGAGGAGTAACTGATCAATAAACTGTGCAGAAGCTGTGACAGTCAAGGATTTCAATCGGAAACGAAACTATTTTGACGAGATTAGGTTATTCACAGTTAGGTAGCCATAGAATTGAGTGTGAACAGCATTTTCTACGATCTTACTTAACGTTGGCAGTACTGAGATCGGCCTGTAGTTGGAAGCGTCATGTTTGTCACCTTTCTTAAAAAGGGGTATGACCCTCGCGTTTTTCCAAACGGAAGGAAAAGTTCCTGTTTGTAGCAATAGATTAAATAATGACGTCAACGAAGGCGCAATAATATGCCCAGAGTCCTTAAGCAGGCGGGGCACTGATGGCAACGGATCAGGTACAACTGCAGTTCTACTTGTACGAACAACCTATAAAGAAAACTTTTCAGACTGGAGATATCATGCAACTTTAGTCAGGTGATCAGTGAAAAGATGAGATAAAAGAAAGAACAACTTTGGGGCGCGGATTATAATAGACGTCGGTAACCTCAGCGCGCCAGCGTTTTTATTAGCGCACATCGGCCGCGATGTTTACAGCTGCAATCCTGTTATGTAAGGTATGGGTCCCATAGTTGTTTCTTGCTTATTTTCGTGGAGTTGTTTTGTCAGGGTAAATCAGAAACACTTTCAATCGAGTGTCGAAGGAAACCCAGGATTGCATTGGTTTTCCTTCGCTGCGGTCTGTGATTGGTCTCAGAGTTTCGCGCTACCCTCTCAACCAATCAGATGCAAAACCAAAACCAATCGCAACTTGATCACCTGCGTTTTCCCGCTCTTTGAGCTGTTTGCTTGTTTCTTCATTTAATTCTCGTTGGCTCCTGGTTATATTTTCCTTTACTTTGATTGGCCCTTAATGGTAGATGAAATGTACTCTCAAGCTAAGGATTGGGGAAGAGAGGGGGGGAAGGGGAAAATCTAACACTAACGAACTCTGGCCAGTACCTTTACAAAATTTATTACAAAGCTTAACGACCTAAGAAAAAGTAAAAATTTCTTTATGAAAGATACTATTTTGACTTCAAGTCAATAGCTGTCAGTAAGAGGAGCATATAAAAATAAATTACATCTTGTGGCAGACGCGCAGATTGTGTTTCGTACCTGTTTTGCTCTTGGATTGCTTACAATCTGATAAATAACATTTTATGACTTACAATCTCAGAAACATGCCTAATCGTTGTATAGTACATAATTATAAATATTTCAAACATGATCAAAAAAAAGCCGCCCGAGCCAGAAATAAAGGCGAAACATATGCAAATTTAAAGATTCCGATACAAAACTGTGAACAAGTCATCAAAACATAATTTAACGCCTTAAAAGGGGCTTTTCTATATATAAAATTCAAAATAAAAGGTCTAATCATTCGGTGTAAACATTGTTGAACATCCTTGTCAGTTTTAAGGTTAATTAGATCATAAATTGTCTGTTTCTTCACATGAAAGCTCTTAAAACCAACATTGTTATCCAATATATTCGAAACCTTGAGAGTCTATGTGAATGGATTCTTAAAACTTAATCTCTAATAAAATCTTCGGTTCCTTAATATCAATGCAATTTTCTTTGGGTTTACACCGCCAGTAAATACTAGCTTTGTGTGACAGTTGGAGCTTCCCGAAAGTAAGTCATGGTCATTAGGAGTAAACTAAAACAAGGATTTGCACGAACACAGACTTGCAGTCAATACAAGTGGCTTAAACCATATGAATAGAGCTGGACAAGAATGAGAGCTTTGTGTTCAAGGCACAGCTAAATCCCTTTCTGTCATGAGTTACTCGACTTCTTTTTGTTTCTATTGTAAAAATTCCGAGACAAAGGTTTACTAACTATATACGATAATCAAATATTAGTTTGTTCTTAGTCTTCTAGATTTCAGATTCTAACTTCAGCTCTTCCAGTTCACTCATCATCTCCTTGATCTCCCGTTGTAATTCTTTGTGGAACTCAGGGTCAGGTGTAGCCGCGCGGGCGAATCTGTCACGATGGTAATCATCATCTTCATCTTCTGAGCAATTCTCGGAGTGAAGGTAAGAATTTTCTGGTGAATCATCGCACACCTCCATTCGATTTCCAAGATAAACCTGTTCCAGATCGTCCTCTGAGTACATTCCGTCCGTGACACTTCCAAGCTCCGAGCCCCGCGCTGTGAGCGTTGGTGCGTATGATCCCACGGGAAGCTGGTCCAAACTTTCTGGATAAGGCTCCCTTGGAGGGCGTGGGAATCGCCCTTTGAAGATGTCTGGATCAAGATCTGTGCCGTCCGAGAATTCCGAAAACCGGGAGTCCATGGAGTACCGCGAGGCTGATTTACCCCTTGGATTTGTGTATTCCATGGGCTTTTTAGGAACATGCGGGACGTCTGTGTATCCGTCCTCTGATTCTGATACTTTATAATTCCTTGGCCTCTTGGGAATCTCCGGCACATCAATAGAACCCTGTGAAGACCTAAAACTAGACGGCCTCTGTGGAACTTCCGGAGCAAATTTTGTACAGTCCGGGGAACCGCTGTAGCTGCCTGAATGTTCCTTTGACAAGGGAGTCCTAGGAACTAAGTCAGCAGGGATGTCCGTGTAGTCCCACTGATAACCAGGTAGGTTGTTATCTGATAAAGAAGTCAACGTTTTCATGGTTCCGAAATCCTTACGAACTTTCTCGCGCCTGCGCCAAGAGTCCTCCGCATCGTACCCAGGAGGCATACCGAGATCATCTACATTGTAACCATGGACTTCCCTTGGGGGAGGAGTAGGAGGCTCTGGGGATGTTACCTCTGAGCCCACCACGGGTGGAGAGACTTTCAAAACTGACGTGCTGACAGTTCCAGCTTGTTCACGCTTTTCTCGTCTTCGCTTGGCTCGCCGTCGAAGGAAAATTACAACAAGGAATACAATCAGCAAAATAACTGCGAGAACTACAGCAATTCCAATGATTTCTGTCTGCCCTAATGGCCAGCCGCGTCGGGCCTCAACATTAGCCAGCACTTGTTCGCAAAGGTCTCCACCATGAGTGCTTGTAGAGCAGTTACATTTAAAGCCTCCCTGTTGGTTCTCACACACGCCTCCATTTTTGCAAGGGGAACTAGCACACTCGTCAACGTCTTCAAAACAATCGACTCCCGTGTAACCCTGAGGGCAACGGCAGACTGCAACACCGTCCTCCTGGTTCTCTACGCATGTCCCTCCGTTTTGACAGGGGGAGTGTTCACTGCAGCGATATCCTTTATCGCAACTCTCCCCTGAGAAGCCAGGTCGACAATGACATTTGTAAGATTCACCATAGTTCGTGCAATTCGCGTTGTTTACGCAAGGGTTAGACGAACAAGGTCTTGCGTCTTGCTCGCAGGTCCTTCCTTGAACTCCCGCTGGGCAATCACAAATGAAACCACTATTGACACTTGGAATGCAGCTTCCGCCATTTCTGCAAGGTGTACTTGCGCAATGACCAGTGAAGATGTGACATTGTGTACCTGAGTAACCATTTTTGCATCTGCACTGGTAACGGTCTGTTGGGTGAGGGAGGCATGTCCCGCCATTCTGACAAGGGCTGGCGTCACAGCCCACAAATGCACGGCACTCTGGACCAGAATGGCCACGCAGACACTCGCACTTCTTCGATGTCAGGGTCTCAATACATATGCTGTCACGTGGACAGGTGTTGATGCGGCATTTGCCTGATAACTGACAGCCTGGTACTGCGTTAAATGGTTCAGCAGCTACGTAACTGTTTGAGCCAGACATGGGGAGGTCCTGATCCTGGTGGTTCAATTTCAAATTTTGTAGACAACCTTTGAAGCCATCCTCGACTAATTGACCTGTCAAGAAATTTTTTCAGTTTCAGTACTTCACTTTACAATGCAGTTTTTTTCCATTGGAGGTCCATGAGTCACGCAACTTGCGTAGATTTGAAATTTAATATAATCCTAAAAGAAACAATTTTAAATCTAAGATCTGTCGCACGAAATCAGTAACACCTAGTTACATCATTCAAACCCTATGAACCATTATACTGCTGCGCAATTCTTCTCACCTTGATTATTGATCTCCCTTCTCGTCTTTGATTTGACAACTTTGGCGCCGAAATAAATCGCGTTATCATCAAGATTCAGTATTCTCATCTTCCCAGGAGACTTGTTCCATGCGCGGTGACGACCCTTATCCAATATTAAAGTGGCGTGGTTACCTTGCCGCATGACTGCGACGTGGTGCCATTTACCATCGTCTATTCGAGCCCAGTCTAGGTTTACGACCCCGGCCCCACTGCCAAAATCAAAGCGTAACTGAAGACAGCCGTTCACAATCTGTAAAAACAAAGATAACGGATATATTCGATAAGATAACACTTTACAACCCATATCAGATTGACCCTTGCTTCAGAGAGATTTCTATTATTAGACAAATGTGATATGTTCAAGTATAATGATGATCACATATAAGACATACCTCAAGAATACTGTAATCATACTGTCCCGCGGCCCACACGAGTGTTCCTCGAGGTTCAGTGGTTTTGAAAGCAAGGCTTATAGAGCGGCTTTGTTCATCAAATGACTGCTTCAATTTAAAGCGAATGTAACTATCACCGCTAAACGATATGGCAGTATTACCTGTAAAAAAACAACGAATCTATCACTTAAAGTTCTCTCGGCACCGTATCTTTTGATTTTGCCTCATTCTTGCAAAAGATAATTGTTATCATGAAATTAAGGTTAAGAAAAGGGCAAGATTTAGTGGAAGATACCTGTTTTACAGGACTGATCTTCGCAGCCCGGTTCGTCAGGTTGACACTTAGATGAATCCACGCACTTACACTGGAACCCCAAGGGAAAATCGGCGCACTCATAACCAACAGGACACGGATTAGACGCACACTTACCACTTGCACACCCTAAGGACGAGTATCACGTGATTAGTTATAAGCAGAATGTGACCAGCAATGTGAGGGGAACTAAATTTCTACCACTTTGACGAGATACAAAGAACAAGTGATCTAAATAAGAAGGGAAAATACTACAAACCTTCAAGGTTCTTAATAATCTAAGCCTCAGAGCAAACTAGTATAAAAGTAGTTGAACCGTGATTCATTCTGAGGGAGTTCAAAACTTTCATGGGTAAGGTTCACCGACAAAATTAAATTCGACCATATGAATCATACACGATCATGATCCTACCTTTATCACGGTCACACATACAAGCATGACTTCGGCTGTGTTCAAAAGAAGTGTAAGTGGTTCGTTCAGACATTATTCTAATTTGCTTGTTCTGTGGTTTGTAAACTGTTCGGCATGAGTAGTTTTCGGGGCAGTGCATCAGAGGGCACTGGCTAACACCAATGTACCCGACTTGGACTTCTACAGCTCTCTGGAAGTCACCCCGGGAAGAATTCAGCTTGTGTGCAATGTGCTGGGATGCATAGAAACCCTGATGAGGAACAATAAGAAATTACATCATCCAAGTGTACGGGGCGCACTTCCACCAATCAAAACCAAGATAGAAATCACAAGAAGCAAACGATCACTCAAGGCAAAACCAAGTAAAGTTCGCGATGCACAGGATCGATGTGAAAATAGCAAGTTGCGGTTTCTTTTGGTTTTGAATTCAATTAGTTGGGAGAGTTACGCGAGACTAAACAGACAGCGGAGCAAAGGAAAACCAACGCAGTCTCCAATTACTTGCGATATGTAATAGTCCATTTTACAGTTGTGTGCTTGGTTGCCAAGCATTTGAATGGGAGTGAGGCTGAGGGTGACCTTGTTATGATACAAACCTTGCTGCCTTTCAAATGTAAATCACTTTGTTATCATGCTAACTAGATACAGGTCTCTATCATGACAAGGTCACCTTCAGCCTCACTCCAAATCAAAGGCTTGGCAACTAACTACGCAACTGTAAAATGGCCTACACATGGATCGCACGACTTCGACACCTTAATCTCGAATGTACTTGGATGCCTTTGTTTAGGCTTTCAATGACCTCAGATTCTCCGTCGATAGAAAAATACAAATACTCAAAAATTCATTCCACGAAAAAATTAGCTCTATCGAATACCCTTTGTCAGGGAGATTAGCTCCTACCTTGACTCGCTTCGTAACAGCGAATACAACATCCAAACTTGCGTCAGAAGAATGCAGGCTCCATATATGGACATTCTCAGCTGGAACATTGAGCAGGAATCCCAAATAGTCTTTGCACTTGGCCAAGTTCCTCTCCACGAAGGTACCAGGGCTCAGGTCTAGCAGGCGCAGAGTCAGGGAATGTCGTAAGATGTCTTAAGTAATATCGGACACAACAATTTTTACTGGAGCATACGTGACGTACTTGCCATCGGAGACGCTGATATTCAAATTGTAGATTCGACTTGGGACGTTAGAAGTGGCACTGATTACTCCACTGTTTGTTATCGTGAAGGGGTTACCAGAACGAGGCGCAACAATCGAATACTTCAGAGGGTCCCCATCGGTATCCGTTCCTTTGACGCTTCCGATGACACCACCGTTAAACTGCGAGCTGTACAATTTGAGGTAAACGGTCAGCGGCTCCACGACGGGAGGATGCGAAACGCCCTCGACTACAATGATAGTGAGGGTCTTGTCAGTGTACCGCGGTGGCTCGCCACTGTCGAACACACGGAACCTGAGTTTGTGTTCCTTGTCTCTATGGTCCAGTGGTCCTGCTTTGGTTATCAAACCGTTCCTTTCCAGTTTAAACTTCGGTTCGTCGCCTTCAATTCTCATGAAAGTAAAAGGACCTCCGTTCCCAGGACCATCGCGGTCATGAGGCCGTAAAAAGATCACAGTGGTACCAATGGCGGCTAACTCACTGACAGAGACAGTAAAATTTGTGTTGGTGAATTCAGGCGGGTTATCATTCAGGTCGTTGATGTTCACTTCAACTTGGGTCTCTGCAGACAATGGAGGTTTCCCCCGATCCTGAGCCCGCACTGTCAGAGTGTACTGAGATAATGACTCATGATCAACATGCGCCTTAATGCTGATTGCGCCAGTGATCTCATCAATTTTGAACTTATCTGCACCGTTTCCTTTCACGATTGAATACCGGATGTCTCGGTTAGAACCGCTATCAAGGTCCGTGGCGAACACTTGAAGAACAAACAAGTCCACAGCAGAGTTCTCGTCCACTCTAGCGGTGTAAATATCTTGTCCAAACGTAGGGATGTGATCATTAGCATCAGTGACTATCACACTCAGTGAGCAGGTTGTGCTCAAGACTGGCGGTCCAGCATCACTCGCCTGAATTGTCATTGAATAACTCTTCCTTGTTTCGAAATCCAAGCTTCCTTCCAAAGTAACTTCTCCTGTTTTCTTGTCAATTTTGAACATATCTGAATCTGGACCTTTGAGAATCTCGTAGGAGAACTCTTCGTGCCCAGCCTCTCGACTAATGGCGTTCATTTTTGTTATCTTTTTACCTTTTGTAGCATCTTCGCTCACATTGGCCTTGTAGCTGGATTCGGCAAACTCTGGAGGAACATCGTTTATATTCAAAACCTGAATCACAACAGTGCACGTTTCTGACTGAGGGGGGACGCCTGCGTCGTCGGCTTGCACGGTCAGCGTGTACTCCGCTTGCTTCTCTCTATTCAGACCGCTCGTTAGCGTTATCACACCGGTCTCGGAGTCTATTCTGAACGTGTCGCCTGCCGTGTCCAATAAAGAATATGAAATTTTCCTGTTCTTTCCTAAGTCGGAATCGTCTGCCTTCACCTGCAGAAGCACTTTATTTATGCGCGCGTCCTCATATACAGCCCTTCGGTATTCTGACTGACTAAAAACAGGTCTATTGTCATTCACGTCTTCAAGAAGCACCGTTACGTTACTAAAACACGCCTGACCTCCGCGATCCTCCGCTGACACCATGAAATTGTACATATCCTGTACCTCGCGGTCTAATAACGCAACAGTTACGAGACGACCTGTTGAGAGAATGACACAGAGAAGCAAGTTAAGTTTTCCGGGCCGGCAAAGATTCATACCAATGAACCATTTCAGTCCCCCTCTTAAACGGAATGTTCGTTAATCCAGGAGCTTCTTCCCTCCTCAAACATCTCCTCCCTCGTCCCCACTCATTCTCAAACGTGCTCCTTCTCATTTTTGTAACTCACGTAGAGAAAAAGTCCTAGACATATTTTGAGAGCTGGGGTTCCTCGAACCAGCTGAGTCTAACACAGTGACTGTGACGCCATCTTTAACCAACAAATACGACATAAAAATGCAGCAGAAGTAAGCTACTAAAAAATCCAGTAACTTAATGCTACTACAAACTGTAACATTACAGATCACAGCGCACTCAAGGGTGACATGGATATGATACTCACCAGTTCCGTTTTCAACTCCAAAGAAACCCATTCCTTGTCCAAACACGGAATACCTCAACTTGCCATTATCATCAGCGTCCAGGTCGGTGGCCTCCACTATCATTACTTCAGTACCACGCTTCACGTCCTCGCTGAGATGAACAATAGAAATGGACTGGGTACAAACCGGCAGATTGTCTTTCGCATCAAGGACTCTGATGATCAAAGTAGTGAAGCTGGTGAAAAGTCCGTCTGAGCAGCTTACATTCAGTGTGTAGGACAACACGGACTCGCGATCAAGTGGAGAGTGCACAAAGACTTTGCCAGTTTTCTGCTCGATTCCAAATTTAGTTTGAGGATCGCCAGACATGATAAAAAAATATGCATCAGAATTGGTATCGTTGTCAAAAGAAGTTAATGTACCGACTTCTTGACCAATCAAAGCGTCTTCTCGAACAGAAAATATAAAGATGTCCTCAGTGAACTGAGGAGGCGAGTCATTGACATCCAGTACATTCACTTCAACAGTTGTGTAACCTGACAACTGTGTGACACCGCCTTCATCGTTGGCGCGGACTCGCAACAAAAGAGAGTTTGCGACTTCGCGATCGATTGGTGCTGTTATGGTTATCCAGCCAGTGTGCTGATCAATAGCAAACAAATTCGATTTCGTTGCGAAATCGTACAGTATTTCTCCATTCTTGGCGTCATCTAAATCCTCAGCAAACACTCTCAAGACCTTTGATTTGACCATCATATTTTCTGGGATACTGACTCTGTAAGGATTGGCCACGAAATGAGGCTCGTTATCATTCACGTCTGTCACTGACACAACTACCACAGCTCGTGCGACTTGAGATATTTCTGTCGAATTAGCCTCGATCACTAAAACGTATCTCTTTAATGTCTCGTAATCCAAACGCCGCTTAAGCTTAATTTGACCGCTAGCATCAATACTGAACTGTTCTCCCTGCGATGATGGCGAATTCCCAGCAATTATTTGGAAACCAACTCGTGGACTTGTGCTGCCTGGAAGTAAGGTTCTCACAGTCGTTATAACTCTGTTTGTGTTCAGGTCTTCGGGTACGAGGATCCTGTACTCAGACCTTTCAAACTGTAAAATCTTGGCGTTTTTTCTTAGCACATTCACCGATACTTTCACCATGTTTCGTAAATAAGGAAACCCACCGTCTTTGACTAATACGTGAAACATGTAAGTCTTCGTCTCGGGCCGCCGAGAAATTTTTATGAATCCCGAGTCCTTTTCTATTTCAAACACGGGTGGGGTTTGGTGCCCAAGGATGACGTATGATAAGGCACCATTACTTCCGGTGTCTGCATCGTTTGCTGACGTCATCAGGATGGAAGTTCCAACAGGGGCTGTACTATGGATAGTCACCTCGTACAGCGGAAGCTCAAACTTTGGTTGGTTGTCATTCTCATCAAGGACTTTAACCTGAAAAGAAATGGTCAGTCTGCTAAGTATTTCCTCTATCTTAATGAACTTTTCGTTTCGACGTTTGCGTTAGGTCATCAACAATTCAAACTGAATAACATTCTGTGTATATCTTGGGGAAATCATGAAAGCCAAGGAAAATTGTAACCAAAACATTACTGTGTTTAAGAGTGGCAATGGCGTCCATTGCCTATCACGGGGTACCATGCTAAGATTCTTTAAAGGCAGAGTAATCACAATGTTTTATGTTCAGCTGAATTTCTAGATTCAACCCAGTAATAATTATAATTAAAATAATAATAATAGTAATTATAATAATAATGAGATAATGAGGACATTATAATGTAGTTAACGTACCTCTACAGTGCAAAACCCAAACCGTCCTCCTCCATCAGTGGCTCGGACAGGAATTGACGAAAAGGCCTGGGATGCATTCTCGCGATCAAAACTAAGCTTACTGTAAATCATTCCTGTCTCGGCATCAATTGAGAATTTCTCGGCGGCGTCTATGTCGTCAATGGAATACCTGACTTGAGCGTAGTCACCAGAATCTAAATCGGTGGCAGTAACCATGGTGACAAATGTCCCTGATGGATAATTTTCGTTGAATTCGACGGGGTAGACTTCTTGATCGAATATTGGACTGTGATCATTAATGTCGCCGATCACAACTCGTACACTGGTTTCAGCTGTTGATTTCCCGTCTGTCACTTCAACAGCGAGGTTATACACCTTACCGCGTTCAATGCCGACATGTTTGGAGATGGTCAGAACACCGGAAGTTGAATCAATTTGGAAATATTCTTTTCTATATCCAGATATAATCGAATAGCGCAGCTTGCCAACGTCATCGTCATCCGGGTCACTGGCTACCACGCGCGTCACAAAGAATCCAGGCCCCGCACTGCCTGAAATGGAAGTGGCGTAGCTGTTCTGTTCAAACATTGGCGGGTTATCATTAGTGTCTTCAATAACAATGCGCACACGAGCCTCTCCAGTCAGTGGGGGAGTTCCACCGTCTGTCACGATCAGTTTCAATTCATGGATTATATTCTGTTCGTAATCCAGTTTCTTCGCAACCACTATCTGCCTTCTTGCCCGGTTGATAAGGAAGAACTCACTTATTTTACTGTTATTATGGGCGTTGAGGGTTTCCAGTCGGTAGGTTAATTGCCTATTAACCCCCGAGTCTCCATCGAATGCTGTGAAGGAAACCACTGAGGTACCAATCGGAGTGTCTTCGGGAATAGTCGCCAAATACAGTGATTGGTTAAACAGCGGCGCAATGTCATTGACATCAGTGACTGTGACAAGCACTGTGATTTCTCCGTAAGACGTCGTCAATTCGTCAGTAGCACGCACAAGAAGCTGGTAGCTAGTCCGAGCCTCGTAGTCCAGAAAAGATTCCACCGTCAGAACTCCTAGTGAAATCAAATAAATCTTTGACAAGACTACAACTAATAACAACCCCTACAATATCACTTTGGCATAAAATGACCTACTCATGTCTCTTACGATACCCATGCGCCACACGTAATAGTACTAGCATCTTGTTAATCAAATAGCATTTCCACTCTTATGACTGACTGCTACATTTAGATGTATTTAAAGTAAAAATAAAACAGCATTTTTTAAGGGTATTTTGGAAAACTAAGTTTTAGATATTTGACATTGTTAATTAAGTTCAAAAGCCTTTTTGAGGAGATTAATAAATTATTGCTTAAAATTTTCTATGACTGAGCTGTGGCTCAAACAGTTTCCGATAATCAGGGCAATTTCTTTGTTTTGATGGTAATTCATGATTGGTTCTATACATTAATTGTGCACGCAGGGATCAAAATGGTCTTTATATGAATGAGGTACTAACTTAATTCTAACCTGTTTTCAAATCAATGCCGAACTGGTTATATGGATCTCCAGCCAAGACTGTGTAAAGGATACCTGCACCACCTGGACTTCTGGCCTGTACACGAGTAACTTCCTCACCAACTTTCACATCTTCTCTTACCACCCTGCTATAACTTAAGTGGTCGAATATCGGTGTTTCCTTATCCACGACTTTGATTTTTACAGTAGTTTTGGCACTCAATCGTACCAGGCCTTTATCTTGCGCTTCAATTTCAAGAGTGAAGACAGTGGGAACTTTTACGTCGTCTAACAACCTGCTAACTTCAATGTTTCCAGTAGCATGGTCGATCTCGAAACGGCTTTCTCCTCCTCCCTTGAGCAAATACCTGTGATAGGACAAACGTTTAGTACATTAACAACGTGACGAAAAAAGAAATAAGCGGGTTCTGCCAAAGAGCCTCAAAGAAAAAAAAATTAAAACTCAAAATTTCTCAATGTCAACGACAGAAACCACATACTTGATGGCACCATTGCTTCCAATATCCTTATCGTTTGCCTGGACATGTCCTACAAATCCTCCGACATCTGCGCTAACTTGGATGACGAAGAAATAAACATCTTCTGTGTAAATTGGAGCATTGTCGTTTACATCGTCCACAATCACGTACAATAGACTCTGAGCTACTCGAGGCATCGGTTTTCTGTCGTCCCGAGCCTGAACAACAACTTCATATCGATCTGTTGTCTCTCGATCAAACGTTTTTCCTGGCAAAGTCGACACGATACCTGTACTTTTGGAGATGGCAAAGAAATTCGATGGAACAACGATTGAGTAGGTAATGGTGTCGCCGACTGAGTAGCCTACAGTCTGCAGTTGAGCGATGTCTGTAGCTGTACTGACTCCTTCTGCTACGGACGTGTTGTACTCCATCTGACTGAACTGCAGATCACTGACTGGCAGCGGTTTGCAGTCGATAACCACAGTGGCTTGATTACTAAAGTTTCCATCTGAAACAGAGACATGAACGCGATAAACTGCTTGATGTAAGAGTGAAGAGTTTTTCACGGTTATAAGACCTTGTCTTGGGGAAATATCAAAGATGTATATGACAGATGGCATGGTAATTGAGTATGTGAGGTTAGTGAGAGAATGAGAGTCTCCGTCTGCAGCTGTGACTGTGGTTACCACAGAACCAGAGTACGTTGGTAAGAAGACCACTGCTTCGAACACAGAAGAAGAAAAAATCGGAGGAAGGTCATTAACATCGTGCACGGAGACAACAACGTCTGCAAAAGCGGAAAGACTGGGTGCTCCATCATCAGAAACTTTGATCATGAACCTGTATGAAGACACGGACTCAAAATCCAACATCTAGGAACGAATAAAAGAAAAACCTACTTAACAAAGACAATAATACGTATGATGCACATATCTCAAAGACAATAATGTTGGTCTCACTGCAAAATAGGTAAAGGTAAACGCATTTGGAGGAGTAGAGAGGCACATTAGGGGCACAGCACCTTTCCCAACAACAAAACACAACTACCCGGCCAAGGAACCTCGCGATCCACGATATTTGTCATGACTAGATCAAAGAGGCCAGACGCTAGGATCAAACTCAATATCCACCGGCAATACTCTTCTTACCTCTGCTGCCAGAAGTTCTCCAGTCTGTGAGTCAATCCTGAAAGCCGAACATCCAACAACTTCGTACATCAAATCACTACCGCTGACGTCGGCATCGCTGGCTTGAATGACAAGTGCATTCCCGTCTCCACTAATCACAGGTGAGTCTTCAGGTAAGCCTTCCTTGATGTGTCCTAGGTAGAGCACTTGGCTAAATGTTGGTGCATGATCGTTCTCGTCGATTATTTTAACAATCAATTGAGTCTGTCCAGTCCCATCGCTACTTTCTCCACGAATTAAGAGTTTACACTCGGTGAGCTCTTCAGCATCGAAAGGTTTCTAAGACACAAAAGTCACCATTAGATTCAAACCAAATAAAATAAATGAAAATTGCTTTGCAGTACAAACAAGGTCTCCATTTCCTTTTCAATTTCACCAAATTTGTCCCCCTCAACACTGTTCAACAACTCGAAACATTTCTAACAAAATTACATTTGTGTGATAATTTCATGATGGTGAGTTGGTTAAAAGTCAAATTCTGCTCTTTGATGCAATATTTTGCCATTTAAGGAAGACAAAGAGGGTCTTATTAGAGTAATTCCCGCCAGGAATATACTATTATACTACATAATTTAGTTTTCACTGAAACGTTAGGAAAATTAAACTGTGCCAGAGTCTACAAAAAGTAACTCACTAAAGTGAGAAACACAATATGAGCACACCTTTAAAAAGACATTCAAATTCATTTAATAACATATTTCCTTGTCCAACGAAATTAGAACAGATGACAAAATTCAATCTAGTCTTTCATATGCATGTTTGTTTTGTTATCAAGTTTCGAGAGAGTTACTAAACAGCCGAACCGAGGGTCGGGTGACAAGGTCAAAAGGCTAATTATTTCCCAAACTATAGAGATTGTAAGAGGTTAACAACGTACGCCCGTTTGTCATTATTCTACTTGTCAAGACTAGACGACTTGGCAATGAAAACTGTGATGTGATTTGCGGATGACTCATCAATCAGGAAACCTTGGTAGATCACCAACATCCCCACAAGATAACCAACACTTTAGCCGGTGAACAGGAAAACGTCTGTCACTGCGTGTTTATCAGACCGCCCACGAATATAAAACATATCCATTTGGAGAGCCACAAACAGGAAAATACATATAATGAAAAACTATTGAAAGCCACAAAGGAAAATATACTCGTTTGTTATCGATTCGCACTGAATTTGGCAACCTAAACCAAGATTAAAACTCATAAAATGTCACGGCCTGTCTTCGTTAAGCGGATTTAAGGTCTAAAAATAATTTTTGACAAACAAGCTTACACGTAAAAATTTCAAATTGACCCAATGCCTATGGTGAGCTGACATCCAAAAAAGTTATACAAAGATCACGCGAAGAAAATCAATCATTTGTTACGATTTGAATAATTTCATGAAGGTTCTGACACACATAGTACATCCAATATGCTATTTTGAAGACTGATAAAACCGGAAATGTGTTCCAGAAGGTTCGATCGGCAGATACATTTCGTGTGGAAAAGATGACCTTTGACAATGACGCCAAAGAGGCGATGACTAACAAATGATAAATCAGCCCCAAGTCATGCGACAATCAACAGTGTAACTTATTACTATTCACGGTTCAAGCAAAGTGTAAAACATTACACTGAGCCTTGGTGGTCACTGGATGACTATTTTACCTTAAAATGGCGAGTTTTTCAGTTTTGTTTGAAAACCATAATTAATAGGAACGTGCTATGAGTAACCGGGGTGATGGAATGTCGGATTTAAGCTCAACGCGTGTCTACAAAGTCTCTGCAATTTATCACGGAATGCAACCACGCGAGACAATTAAATAATAATTTCCGCTACGCAGCATTTTTCTTCTTTTTTTTTTACATTCTTGCACCAGTCTTTGAAGAATAAGAACAGCACATAAACATTACAAGGAAAACATGCTTCTTATAGGTGTTGATGGAATCGCGAAAACGAAAATATTTTTATTAGCATACAATCCTGGGGAGCAACAGCAAGAATTTTCCCAAATGGAAATCAGTCCCACTTAATCTGAAGAGCTTTGCGTCATAAAGCTTGATGCTAAGTAACTTCATAATTTGCTTCACAAACTCAACTTTTGTTGTTATAATCTTATTAAATCTTCGCTTAAGTGACAAAAGAAGATGTTCAAAGTACACCTTGTCATAAGATTAGCGATAAAAATCTAAAGAAGTTCAGTTCATTCTCAGCAGGAAAACAGTCGTGCGAGCCATTTTTAAGTTGTCACTCATAGGAAGTTTCACATATTTCCAGATAATAAAACATCTACTGTTTTTTTTGCCTTAGGAGAAATGCTTCCGATCAAGTCATTGGAATCTCATGCTTCTTACAGCTTAGTTCTTTTTACAAAGACCTTTTAAGTTGTTATATTCAAAAGATTATATAACTTTCCAATTAAAAGATAACAGTATAAACACGCTTTTCCCCCCGAAGTAGAAAAATTTGGCAATGACAGCGCGTAACTTAATAACGGCATTAGATATTGATACTGTATGACTTTTCCAAGCCCTAAGTTTCCTTATTTGTTTGTTTGCTTTAAAACGGATTGTATTTGGTAACAGTTTAGATTGTCCAAGTAACATTTCCTTTGAGACCAGCCGTGTTTCACGAAGATCAGTTCAAGTTGGAAAAACAGGACTAGGAAAATCACGTGAGCTTGTCAGAAACTGATTAACTTCAAAAAAGATTTCTTTAAACCTCTTGAAATAGACTGTAAACTTTCGCAGTTTATAGAAGGGAACTAGTAATAATAATCAATTACTAGACATTGAATCGAGCTTTGGAACAATTCAACTACCTTTTTAATGTTACCAGGCTCCCAGAGAAACTAAAGCAAATAAGAAAGCCAAAGAACTCCTCCCACCCCTCCCTCTCATTGTAAAAAGTTTGCTTATATTACAATATGTTTAATAACTATAGTAATGTTAATTAATAACTTCAAGAGAGGAAATCCTTTCATCTACTACATACCAAATGATAACAGCATCACGTTCACAAATTACCTGCTGCGTAAACGAAAAATCTACAAAATGTTGCATACTGTTAAGTTGAAACAAATCGAATCTTTTCCCAGCAGGTTCACGGTAACAAGTCAGTAACAAAGTGATATTTACCTTGTTGGTAACTAGGCCACTTTTCCGGTTGATGTCAAAGTCTTTCCAGCAGGCGTTATCCTGAGGTACAAACTCATAAGAAGACAAGCTGCCATTGAAAACCACGTTAATAATTGGATGACCAGGACGGAGATTTTCTTTGATTGAAGCTTGGTATAAAGGTCGCTCGAATTCAGCAGGCTGCTTAATGCCTCTTACCAAAATCTAAAAACATTTTGGAGATAAAATCAAGTAAATGAGATAATCGAATGTAACTTTGCAGCTACATTTAACCAGAATATTTGACATCAGAAACGTTAAAAAACTTGGAGAAAGTGGTGAAACTAAAACCCTGCATGAAGAGCAAATAACACTCATGGAACAAACAAGTTGAAACTTTTGTGTTTTTTAAAATAAATACAATAAAAGAAACATATCAAACTAGCTCTGACAACCCCAAAGTTTCAGGTCAACAGACAAGGTGTCGCACAGAAAAACTGATAACCAGGGCTTGAAATGCCCGAAGGGTACCAGCGGTTCAAGTTGGTCATAAACATATTCTTTTCTGCCCACTTAAGTCTCCTAAGGGTGACCTCCCAACACCAAATATCAGAGAAACTCCTGACAGCAAATCTACCTGCCATGCCACTCCCCTGAAGTTGGCAATCCCCCCTTATTGATACCATTTAGCGTTGAAGCGAGACAATTTGAACAACATGCTTAGTCAAATCTAATATACAAACAAATGTCATCTAGAGTCACCTTCACTTCAACTTCAGCTGTTTCAGCTGGGATGCCACTGTCAGACACCTGCACTTGAAGACTGTATTCATCAATTGCACTGCTTAATTTTGCTGCCACTTGTATAACCCCTGAATTCTGATCAATGTAAAATGCATTGTTTGTATTTCCACCTTTGATCGAAAATTTAAGCAGTGCATTGGTACCATCATCATCATCAGTTGCAAACACTTTGATGATTGGAGTGCTGATGGATGAATCAACATTCACTTCAGCTTTGAACTCTGATTGAACAAACACAGGCTTGTGATCATTCATATCATCTACTTTAATCACAATAGTAAAGAGACTTTGTCTCTTGGGTGTCACTTGATCTGTGGCTTCAATTACAAGAGTATGTTCCCTCAGGTCTTCATAGTCCAGAAGCTGTGTGGTCTTGACATCCCCTGTTAAGCTTTGGATCGCGAACAATGAAAGCGATTTTTGTTTAACTGAGCCCACAATGGCATACTCTACTGATCCCCTGGCACCAGCATCTCGATCAGTTGCTGTCAAATTGAAACAAAAGTCCAATGAAAATTAGCTTTCCTTTATATTTCTTTAAAAGTTTATGTATTTTCTGAGGAGAATTTGGTTTTTGGTCTGGGTATCCAAGAAGATATGTTTGCCAACTAACATTACTTTTAAATGATGATCCCATCACACCCCTTTTTTTCTTCAATTCTAGGCTCAGAAAAAAAAAAAACAATTGTTTTCAAATTTGTTTAGTTATAAACCAAAGGAAAACCATGATGATAATTGATAATCAGTGTGAATTTGAAATCAGTATTTTTGGGTAAGAAGGAATGGTTGTTTACCTTCCACTCTGGTCAGTAATGATCCAATTTTAGCATCCTCTGGAATATGAACTTGATACTCTGTCATCAAGGGCAATGGTGAGTTATCATTGACATCATCAACTTCAATTTCCAAAGTTGTTGTGCTGGTGTTATGGTCGTCAGATACCTGGATAGTCAAAGTATAAGAACTAGCTTCTTCATAATCAAGTTTGCCAGCAATGATTACCTCCCCAGTGCCTTTGTTAATTAAGAACTTGTTTCCGATGTTTCCAGAGATAATAGAGTACGTCAAAAAGTCAGGATTGAGGTAAGAGGCAGATAAAAATTCCACAACAGATCCAACTTCAACATCTTCTTTAAATGACTTCTTATAGGTCTTTTGTGTAAAATAGGGTGGTTCTGAACTGGGAGGGTTCTTTTCCATGCAGTACTCCATTACAACAGGAACTGAGGCAGATCTTGGGGGTACTCCACCATCTATGACTTCGACACTAAACTCAAGATAATTATCATCTTGGCAGGAAAGTTTGGCAGAGATGACACCAGTTTTTGGATCAATCTTCAGCTGTCCAGGAATGATTTCTGGTGAATATAACAGCCCATAGGTCAAATCAGCATTACTGCTGATATCTTTGTCCGCTGCAGCAACTCTCAAGATCTCCACAAAAGTTGAAGGATCATCCTGCTTCTTAACTTTAACATCATAGCTGGGTTCATCGGTGGATTTCAAGAAGTAAGGATCATTATCATTAGCATCTGCAACAGTGACCGGAAAAGTAATATGTGCAGATTTTGGTGGGTTATCACCATTAGAAACCTCAACTTTCAGTTCATATTTGTCTTGTTCTTCACGATCAAGAGCTGTGGTTGTTGTAATAAGGCCACTTGTCTTATCAATGGCAAACCTACCAGCCTCATTTCCACTCTTGATTGAATACAACAGGTTGGACCCATCTGAACTTGGATTATGAGCTTTCACAGTAACAACGCTTTCTCCTGGTGCAGCATTTTCAATGACAAATGGAAAATAAATAGCTGGGTTGAAATAAGGGGGGTCATCACTCACTGACAGCACAGTAATCAACAGAGGAATATTGGTGTGCAGTGGAGACATTTCACGGTCTTTTGCCTGGATGTGCAGCCAGTAATGATCACCGTCCTCGCGATTAAGGACTTGCGTGGTTCTGATGATGCCATTTTCCTGGCCAATTTCAAACTTATCAACTCCTGTTCCATCAATGATGAAATAGCTTACATACCACGAGTCACTATCAAAGGCTTTTACCTTCAGAACAGAAGTTCCAACAGGGTTGTTCTCAAACACAGATGCCTTTAAAAGGCTTAACCCAGTAAATATTGGGGCAATATTGTTCTCATTTACATCAAGAATGTTCACGTTTACATCTGCAAATGATGTTAGGCGAGGTGTCCCTTTGTCACTGATTTTTACTTTCAAGTTATACACATCTTCCTGTTCATAATCCACGTGACGACGTAATCTTATCACACCACTTCCAGAATCAATCTTGAATCTTTTGGGGCTGCCCACAAAAGAAAATTCAAGCTCTCCTCCTGAACTTGTGTCTAGATCTTCAGCAGAAATTGCTGCCACAACACTCTCTGGTGGGAGGTCTTCAGGAATGGAAACATTGAAAACCCTTGGAACTATTGCAGGAGCATTATCATTAATGTCCACCAGTTTTACAATGACCGTGGCAGATGCCATCCTCTGAGATGTTGGAGAGTTGTCAAATGCTTGAACTTCTATGATGTACTTTGCACGGTCTTCATAATCAAGTACATGGGCAACTGACAATCGACCAGTTTTGGAATTTATCCTGAATTTCCCTCCAAAGTCATTTAGCAATTTAAAATCAATTCTTCCATTTTCACCACCATCAATGTCTGTTGCATTCACTACAACAACTGTCTGTCCACGTGTGATGTTCTCTGGTATTGTCTCTTCATAAATCTCCTGTTCAAAGACAGGGGCATTGTCATTGACATCAATAACATTTATATAGATGACTGTATAGGCTGTTTTACCAGGAGAGCCACAATCTGAGGCAGATATGTTCAATGTGAACTTTCTAGTGGTTTCTCTATCTAGTGAAGCAGCTACATAGAGTCCCCCACTATACATGCCTATATTGAATGCACTGCCAATGTTACCACTCACTATAGAGTACAAAATCATACCATTGTATCCTTGATCATAATCAGTCGCAGAGAATTTCATGATGGTTGATTTGACAGCTATATCTTCACTGACTTCAATAACAGATTTGTGCGCATTGAATTCTGGATAGTTTGTATTGGCTGGTTTGGCAGGCACTTTTGCACTAGAGGGATAAGATGGTTTAAAGTTTCTTTGTTTCTTGACATGTTCCAAAGCCTTGTGGTAATGAGGAAAAACACTACATCTTGTCTCAACATAGTTTAGAAATTCAGTAGCAGTCTGGGGTGAAACAACCATGATTTTTAGAGTTACTGGATGCTTTGATTTCAGTATGGAATCATTAACTGTAACATAGAGAGAAAACTCTTTTTCACCACCTTTAAGAGATTTCGCTGTTGTTAACTGTCCTGTACTAGGGTTGATGCTGAAAGTTTTATCTGTGTTTCCAACTGGATCTATCCCATAGAAAAGTCCTTCAGATTCACCAACATCAATGTCAACAGCCGTGAGACTGGTTAAGATTGTTCCTGTTGGTGCATCTTCACTGATCTTTATAGTACACCGGAAATATTCAAACACCGGTTGATTGTCATTGGTGGCCTTGATGTGAAGGTGTACATAAGTTTCTGACTCCCTTCTGAATGGCTCTCCAAAGTCTGATGCCCGTATCTTAAGGGTAATGTACTCTGGTACTCCTGCATCCCTGTCCAGTGATGTTAACAATATAATATCTCCAGTCTCTGAATCAATGGCAAATGGAACTGACTCTCTATTTATAATTGAGTAATGAATCTTTCCATTCTTTTCACTGTCTGGATCATTTGCCTTGACTGTTAAAGGTAATTTTGTTCCAGGTCTCAAATCTTCAAAAAATTCCAGAGAATATGATGGGTTTTCAAACTCTGGATCATTGTCATTTGCATCCTCAATATTGATGGAAATTTTTGCACTGGCCATTTGTTTTGATGAATCTGACTGCAAACACCACACGTCAAATTCTAATACTGGTTTCGTTTCATAGTCATGGTGTCCTGTGGTGGTAATTAGCCCTGTGTCACGGTCTATATGGAAGTCTTTGCTGTCTTCTCCGCGCAGAGTGTAGTAAACTTTGGCATTGTTGCCTAAATCACCATCCTCTACAAATACACGTACGACGGAGGTGTGCAATGGCGCTAATTCAGATATGGTGGCCTCGTAGAGACTTTGATTGAAAGCCGGTTTCATGTCATTAGCATCTTCAATCAAAACACGTAACGAAACTTTTCCACTGCGCGGCGGGGAGCCTTTGTCAAAGGCTGTAATAACCAGCTTATAACCGTTTGGCGTCTTTTCACGATCTAGTGGCTTCACCACATCGATCCAATACTCATTCGAAGCATTCTGTGAGCGTCTGATTTTAAAATGTTCGTTCTCGTTTCCTGAAGTAATTCTCACCTTGTTAATTTCACCACTGTTTGCGTTATCTTGGTCGGAAACCTGAATTATCGCGAAATGAATATCGCTGTTTCCTTCGGTAATCTTTTCAAGCTGTGACTTCACCTTGATCTCCGGCGAAAATCTGTTCACGGGTCTTACTGTAACGGTGATATTGTGCTTTGCTTTCGCTGACTGCGCTTTTGATGTCGGCAAAGTCCGATCTCGTGCGGTGACAAGCAATCCATAGCTTCGTCTACGTTTACTGGCCAAAGATCTCGTTACAGTTACAACCCCAGAGATTGGGTCAATCGCGAAGAAGGGCGATTTCGAAATAAAAGAAAAATAAAGCAATCCGTTTGGACCCATGTCCTCGTCGTTGGCAACCACTTGAGCAACTGAAGTGTGTAAAGGAATGTCCTCGTCTATGGTCACATGTTGAAACAGACGAGAAAATTTTGGTAAATTGTCATTCAAGTCGAGAACGGTCACATTCACCTCAGTGGTATCTAGAACTTCTTTAGTTTTCGGGTGCTGGGCTGCAATTGTGAGCAAGAAATACTCATCTTCTTCACGATTTAGTTTTCTTTCAGTTGTAATGTCCATGAAGATAAAGTCCTTCACGCGCTTGGAACCAACAGTGAATATCTTTGCGTTCCCTTTCGTTATGTTAAATTCGACTTCAGTGTTCTCGTCATGAGCATAAACACCCATTTTCAAGTCACATATAATTTGAGACTTTTTTGTCTCGAAAATGGTAGCTTGATAAAGTCCACCACTTGTAAATTTAATATCTTTTTCATTTTGTGAACGAAATTCCCAGGAATATGTAGGAACAGTTTCCACCACAACTGAACTCGGACGACCTTGACGCAGCCCATCGTCTGCCAAAGTTTCTGTGTTGTTTTCCTCCAAACTCTTCTCAAGAAAACCAGGACAAACATTTAGAGGACAACAAAATAAAAAAATCGGCAGTATCACGAGTTTAAAGAGAGACCTCATCCTGGAGCCTTCACCTGGATTTCAAGAAACGGCAAAAATAACATTAGAGTGAAACGATAACACCTACAAAGCAATTACTCGCCTTTAATTTGTTTAGTCGTGAAATGTGCTTACCGTTAAAACCTTAATTCATCTATTAATTTCATCCCAGATATATTAAGTTTGGTGCTTTCCCACTTCAACGCGAAGGAATGCAATACATTTGAAAAGATACATGTGGCAAGATGTGGACATGCCCTTTATCGGTTCTAGAAATCCACCAGCATGTCTGGTTTGATGAAAACTGAAAGAAAATCTGTGAATTCTCTTGGGAATAGTAATACACTGCAGGTCCTCAACCGACAGGAAATGTGACAACCTAATTGACACTGTCTCCATAGAAACGAACCATTTTAATGCTAATTCAGGAAAGAATTTATATTCTTTTATTGGCAATAGTCAGTGATCTTGAAAGGTCGCGTGATTAAAATTCTCTTCAACATCGTTATGTTTTTAATTATTGGAATTGAAGGCCACTCAAAGGGCACGATTTGTAATTTGTTTGTATTTCACGCCCGGTAAATGCTGTAAATGTGAACCAGATTTACAAGAATAAATAGTGTCCAATAACTTTATGAATTGTCAATAATTGTCAGTTTATGATAAGTCTGCGGTTTCTAGTGCTTGCGTGACATTACGAAATCTTTGTTATCTTTAGCCAATTATCAACTACAGGGCATACCCCCAAAGGATCACTTGACCACAACTGCCACAGGAGAACAAAAGCAAAACAATCAAGTTTGCTTTTAATATCAGCTGCCGCAGAGTAAACCACAAAAATCCCATTTCTCGCGTCAAGAAAGATCGTTGTGCATGCAAATCACTTCTGAACAAAGTCAAGCATAGTTTATGCGTCGAACAAATAGATCGACTGATAACTGAAATCAGTGTAAAGAGACAAACTCGAAATTGTATGCCCACTCGCGAAACTTCAACCAGGAATGCAATGTACGTTTCACAAAATATTTTTAAGAATCAGACTTTCTCGTTGAGTCTTTAACTCCCTCAACTATCACTCAAGATAAACCAGTATGAGCCCACACTGAATTTTTAAATTGTCCCTTCAAAGAATGAAAGGTAGCCTAAAAAATGACCAAAGCTTGGTAAAAAAAAAAAAAAAACTGGTAGGTCTCATGTTTGTACCTCTTGAAAGGTGTAAGTTCGACCACAGCAACGGCTATTGGTGATTAATCAACTGGAAAACCACTAACAGTCGCAGGAAGATATCAACTCCTTCGTGGAAAAATCTGAATTTCAAATGAAGTTGCAGTCCTTTGAGATCCTCACAAATGAACAGTAATTGCGGTTAGTAAGAGACATTTTGCAAGGATTTGAACAGATTATCATCAGAATTAAGAAGGATATCACGCGATATTCGAGTTAAAGTTCCAAAACTCAGTTTAATCTCACAAAGGCACATCACAACTTTTTTTGATGTTAAAGAGAGCCTCATATCCGTCTAGTTAGAAAAGAATATTCTCATACAAATATATTAAACGACAACTCGAATATTGCATGCTCTCGATACCAAAAATACTTTTCCTGAGGAAATCAGATGAGTGCGGTTTTAATATCGCTGTACGTGCGTGTCACATAGTTGAGTGCACAGCGACATCCTGTCTCACCACATCCAAACAAGAAATCAGCAAAGAATTTTAATTCCTGCCAGCTTACGTCTTAATACACGTCTAAAACCAGTACCATCTTTGCTCTTCAACCAGATTAGCTAGCTAAGGTTTAAGGTGTTTTACAAATATGCACAGTGTGACATTTGTTTTATCTGAACCGACCTAACTATCCATAAGCGTCTTAGTGTATTGATCAGAGTGTTACCGCCCTCTTGTCAACGACAGGTTGCTCTCATCTTAATTTGAAATTTTTATGATGCGAAACACGTCATTTATCTGATGTAATAATATATTGTCTTTGCGGTTCGTCTACCCGGCTTTACTGTTTCATCTACTTGTCTGTTATATAATTACTCACTTTCAGTTACTCATTGATTGAAAATGGAAGAAGCATGCCGAAACATGTCTCTAAAAAAAGTCGTATATTTCTTACAATAATGCTTAAAATGATCGTCAAAATTGTCCAAACGTCGCTAAAATTTCTCGGCCAGATCATCTCAGTGTATCAGAAAGTGCGTATGGTTTTCTAGATAGAATCACGAAATCGCAAATTAATTAGGTTCGTGCAGTTTCTTTAAGAACTTAAGTTGTTCAGTGTGCCAATTCAAAACTTTACTCAGTCAAAAGGTAGCTCTTTAAATTTTGTTTAATTTATCAGGAAGGTCGCAGGTTAAATTTTGTTCATGCTTACCTCTTTCGAATACCTTGTGGTAATGAACATGACGCCTATGAACCCGCTTACGAGAAAGGCTTCCACTGTCTTTCTAATCTTTTGAACCAAATGCTGATCTGAGCTGATTTATTTGTCATTACACCAAAAACATCAGCGTCTAATTTCGTAAAGTTTCACAACACTTTAGCACCATGCACAGTTTTAAACTTAAAACAAAGTGTAGTATTTATAACCGAATCATTCCTCAGTTCCTCGTGATAACCATCAAGTTTCCACTTTGACCATCAAACAAAAGTCGATTGTAAAAGTCATTTCCAGACTGATGATAAGGTATTTATTACTTTGGTTTATTTTTAAACAACTAAGTTTCTTCATGAGGTATCAAATCATTCCCTTCACATGGTAATCATCATGTTTCATTACTAACCAATTACTAGAGCAAAAGTCGGCTGTCAAAGTACTTTGTAAAAGTTTGCATTTCACGACAATAACAATTTGGAAAACCTTCCTGGAGTAGTTCAAAACAGCAGATTTGAAACTTCCAAAAAAATGCTGAGAATTCACATCAAGGATAGTTTCCACTTCTTCCAAGTGGATCAAGATACCACCGCAGCTGACGAAAGTTTGATTAAAGAGGAAAAGAAACTCTGAATTATTCAAGAGGAAAAGACTTAGCTTGGAAATTTGTTTTTCTTGTAATGCATGAAGGATGATGATGCAAGGAACTTTAAAAAATCTCAGCTGATTACAGAATAACTGAACTAATTGACAAGAAGTTTCCGATTAGTTTAACATGATGACCTTTTCTGAAAATATTTCAAACTCAGGTCTAATCTGTAATATCACGCGATAGCCATTGAGTTCCCACGTGGACGGACGAACAGAACAATGGTCAGTTGTTTAAGCCTTTGTAAAAGTCTGCTATTTGACTGCAGGTAAAAAGTCTTTTAAAGTTTCCACCCATTTTTTCATGTATAATTTCTAGTGGGATAGTTAATCAAAGCATGTTAAAGAGTCGGCACTCTTAAAGAGTTCGGTCCAAATCGATTGAGATATATCGTTTGGTTAATAAAACATGCCGTATGTAAAGGAAGGATCAATATGTAATTTGAGAGAGGAAGTTTAGTCCTGTAAACTTCGCTTATCGTAATACTTTTGTACGATGGATGATTAATTCATCAACTTTCAAAATTTCTGCTTATTCTACAACAGCTAAAATAATATACTAGAAGTTTCTGATTAGTTTGAGTGACCTTTGTCTAGCTTATTATTTCCCTCTGAACACAGTTGTCAGGGTAATAAAAAAACATCTGAGATTATTTGGACAGATACGATTTCCGTGAATTCTTCTTGTTTATACTACGTACATAAGACCATCAAGAACGTCCGCTAACAGTTTAGGACAAGAAAATTCCCGCATTCCTAGTAAGTCCAATTCACGGAACGTAAAAAAAATGGCAGAACTGTTCGCCCGATTTACTGCATACACGCTTTTTCTTAAACGATCATAGAGCTGTACATTACTGGTTTGAAAAACAGTCAACCATATTTTGTAACTTGTGGCATTAGAAATCGCTCACGTAAGTTGTATGACTTGAGAGGGGAGATCCAACTGTTTCCAACGGTACACGTTGAGTAGTTTATCTCCATGAATGTAAAAAGTTATTCCCGAGGGGTTCGTTCATCATTTGTTGTTTTTACTTTTTTTTTTTGTTTTGTTTTGTTTTGTTTTTTTTCACTCACCCACAAACTCAGACCTCCACTTCAAAAACAATAGTAATTAAAAGATTATGATAAATAAAATTTACAAAACCTACCCTCAACAGAATTAAAATGCTGTTCTTTCCTTGAGATGGAAGAAATTATCTCCAAAATCTACGGCGAAAAACGCCTGGCACACTTGTGCATATCACGTGTAAATCGCGTGTAAATTGCGATGGTAAATGTACTGCTAAAATGATTTACCTGCCTTTTATTTCGTAGTATTAGAATTACTTCGAGGGCAATAAATCTGGCCATGGAGTGACAGAAAGCAGCTGATATATCTGATACTATGAATAATGCCGCCTGCGTTTGTCGCCACTTTAGACATCTCCAACTGTGTAAATGCATGGATATCACACCTCCTGCATATGCTCAAATCTTCACAACCAATGCTTGAAATGTTTCGTGCAAGACGAAAAATAACTTCACAATAAGGAGTCAAACTACTATTCAGAAAAATAATCAGCACCACAAAAGGGTAAAAAGCCGATTAACAAGTACTTACAAGGGACCCAAAAGGTCCAGATCACACTTGGGACAAAAAGCTATCTTTAAGAAAGAAAAGAAAAGGATCACTGAGAAGTCTCCCCGATGCAGTGAACTTTGACTTGACCTGTATGTCTTATAGCGTGGGAAAGTTTGCCTTTGTTTAGGTTTGCATCTGAAAAAAAGACTGGTCAAACTTTCTCTTGGGACCAACTTATCCCTTCCTTAAGAAGTTAAAATCTTAAAGTTAATGTTCACTCAGATGTACGTATGCACTCCTGAAAAATAATACTGTGAAAGAAAAAAAAAAAAGAAGAAAGAAGGAAAAACACCAAGGCCGTGTGATGAAAAGGCGTGGTATTTAAGACGGTGCTACTCAAATCAAGATCAACTTTAAGGATGAAGAAAATTAAATTTTAGAAAGAAAAAAAAAAAAAAGAACGAAACATTATTCAATTAATAGCTTTATGATTAGCTCACATCCAGGTCAACTTACTCTTTTTTTAGTCACTGTTTTCTTAGATAAAATGTCTGTCGTCTCCTACAGAACAATCGGGTATCTGTAGATGAAATCAAATCCTAGAGATGCAACGAGTATCTATTTTCTAGAGTATTTTTTTTTTTTGGTCATCAGATACACCCGGTTTGAACGAGGACGGATCAAATCAATGGAATTACTTTAATATTATCACCAGGTGCCATTGTTGCGTTCTCAGCTAAATTCCTGCTTCTCTCAATTCTCTCATCGTCTCACTACCATTATCAAAAATCATTGGTGAGTTCTTCCCTTGTAGGGTCCACCCTTTGGAGAGGTTTTCTAAACTGAACTTTAAATACTTTGACACTATTAAAAAAGAAGAAATTTCTCCCAGCAACGGATGGCAAGTACTATCCATGTGCTTCAGCTGGATTAGCCAGTGTAACATTTGCTTTATTCAACCGACCTAGCGGTCTGCAGGCATCCTAACTCTAACTATTGATCAGTGCATTACCAATCTCCTGTCAACAACACATTCTTCTCGCCTTTTTAATGTAAATGGTAATTACGGTTTAGAACACACTACTGATCAAGGCCCAGTTGTATAAAGGGCGGATGACCCTGTCAAACGGATAAATCGTTACCCAGCGGATAAATGAAAGCAAAACGTGCTGCGCTATCCACTGGATCAATATTTATCTAGTGGATGATAGCGTTATACAACCTTCGAACAACTGGGGCCTGATGACAGTTTGAAGTCTGTGATTTTTTTTCTCTCATTAAAAACCTTTTGATTTCGATGATTGCGGTGTATACATTACAAATGTTGCAAACGTTTTTTGGCAAAAGTATCCCTTTCTTGATTAACCTGTTAATGGAATTTTTTTTGTCATCACGCCAGGCGATCGGTCAGTTTGTCAGTTGAATGATCAGGTTCCAGAAGTTTTAAAACATTTCAGGGCCAATTGCAGTTGTAGTTCTATTTTAGTAAAGCGAAAAAGGAACAAAGGGTGATTCCCATCACGTGATAATCACCGTATTTCCACTTGGAAAAACAAGCGGTAAACTGACAAGCCAAGGTCGACTCAAACTGATTTTTTTTTCATTTCACGACTGATGAATACAAAGAGTAGCTCATCTTTTCAAATATCCCTATAGACGAGTCCTCTAGGAAGGCTGATTTTGTCTGAAATATTTTAAGAAAGAAGTTTTTAATCCTTATAAATATGACACGCTATTCCTGATGAAACCAATCTAAACCATAAAAGTGGAATCTTTTCCCGAGACATTTTCATATCTTAAAATACATGAAGGATGATGAAAGAACACATTTGATTGCCGGAAACTTACGACTGAATATAAACAGCCAAACTTACCGACAAGAAATTTTCAAGAGCTTAGATTACTATTGTCTGGATTTCAGTTGAACAAGGACACTTCTGTGCAATATCTGCCAGCAGCGTACGTTTGTTCAATTTCAACTATATTTTCTGTAAAATCATCGTTCTTAAACTGCGTAACTCATCCGAAATCTTTCTTGATACTTTAAGAACCGAATCCCTGATTTCTGGATAAGTTTTATGGAACTTAGAAGGATGTAGAACTCTCGTAGGATTTATTACTAAAACTCGTCTGGGCCCGGTAATTGTGCATGGCCTAACTGATACATAGAAAAACCAGTGGATCGATGATATAAATAAATAACAGTCCCCCATTAGCTGAAGTTTCTTTTGTCACACTTTAGATAAGTTGTTTTTTAATACCTGAATAAGCTGGTAATTTCAGTAATTACATAAGAGTTGTGCAATCATCCTACTGGTGTGGGGTTGTAAAGTTCACTCAGAATTTTTGTTATGAAGATAAAGCCTCTATTATATGCATGTGGGTCCTACCCTCTACGAAAGGGCAGCTATTTTCTGCCTAAGAATAGCATAAATCTCCGAAGGCTATGGCGAAAAATGAAGCTTTGGTGCGGGTATCAAATGCAAATTGGAAACGGCTGTTGCAGGGTTTAACACAGTATTCACTTAATATTCCACCATAACTCGAAACTCAAACTTCAATGGACCTGAATATGACCTCAGAACAAAGCAAAAGTAGCAACATCAAGAAAAATATATGCTTAACACCATAAAAAGTTACTCTATTTGCGGCCACCTGACGATTCCAACTGTACATATGAGCCTGGAGAAGAAACACGATACACGCCCACCACAGCTGCTCAGATGTAAAAAATCCCGCTTAATACGTTTCATTTCAAACACAAAAGGTATTTTACAACAAGGCGGTCAAACTCTTATTCAGAAAAATAATCAATGCATCAAATTTCTGGGCTTTCTTCAAGTGGAGGATAAGGAAGCACCTCAGGCTACACTACGGGCAATAGGCAAGTGTCAAAAACGGGTTGGGTCAAGATTATTTCTTTTTTTATTACGCAATCATCTTTGGCACCCTTTTGACCTATTTTCCCTTGAAAAAAAAAATTAGTTGAGTGATACGCTTGTGGCTGTCAGTGGAGATTGAAGACTAACATCCGTTTTGATAACAAATACACCTCTCAAAAGGCTCGCTTTTCTGCTGTAGTTAAACAAATAGTGAAAAAAAAAAAAAAAATAAGCCACTCAGGAAATAAAAGAGAAGAAACAGTATTGTCGAGGGTTTGTTGAAATGAAAACAATGATATCTGGATCAATTCCAAGTCGAAGCCGCTCATTTACTCGATCACTTTATTAGTTCAAGTATCTGTCATCTCCTGCACAGCAATCGGTATACTGTTCAATCAAATCAACTCACATCAAAATTCTTGAGATGATCCCATATATCTGGGCAGGCTTTCTTCAAAAATAACAGCGGGTTAGAGTCTTTTAGTCGTTGAAGCATGGCCAAGCTAAAGATGAGATAACGGGGACTGCATCTTTGTCTCAATCTTACCTAGTACACCGATCATATTGGCTTTTAGCACTACCCCCACCCCTTACTCCCCGCCATTCTACCACCCACAACCTCCCCTTACGTGTCTTCACACCATTATGAAGTTAGCATTGGCAATTACCCGCCCTCAGACTTAAGTTAACCTAATTTAAACGTTGTATAATTTGATACATATTCATAACGTTACATAATGTTACACGGATCAAGACAAAGGTTGATGAGTAAAATATGCTCATACATGCCACAATCATCCTTTGAAAACTCAGTCACCTACCCTTGATTATTTCTGTATCTGTTTACTGACGTAAGAATTGCGATGATAAGTAAAATGGACTTAGCAAAGGAAGGAAATGATTCCTACCTTCTTTGCTACTAAACAAGAGAAAGTATTCCAAAAGGAAATTCATGTAAAACACATAAGAACTCGTAAAGTGTTAGGCGGCATACTGAGCTCCTAAAGTAATCACAGAAAAATGGCTAGAATGCACAGAGCTAAAGAACTTTGGCAAATTGGAATAAATTCCACTCAACTTAATTTGATTTGCAGCAGGAAACAGATGAAATAACAGTGCTTCCAAACAAGATAGGTGCAAAAAATCTCGAATATGACAGGAAGACCGCAAGTATTACAAATTTGCTGATTGAGAGATGTGTATTAATTCCTGTCCTCTGTGATAACAAAACGCAAAAAACGATATCAAATTCTTTAGTTCTGGAGTAATTAGAGCCAACAAATTTCACCAAAGTTTTTCCTTTGACATTTAAACCTTAAATTCATTAAAAATTTATAAAACCTGAGCCAAGAGAACTAAAGATTTGAGCATGGAAATGCAATAGTATCACAGAGTGAGGAGACTTTCAAAATGAAGTAATTTACAATATTTCAATTTGCAGATAACAAGAGTATTTAGGGTGAATTTAGGGTGATCAGATAATTGTCTTCGAGACGAGGTTAGTCACAATATTTGGCTCGATCGTTGACCATACTCCGTTAAACTTGTTAATAATTCAGACGCTTTTGATTCGCAATTTCAATAACAGCTTCGCAAACAGACACTGATGTCTTCTTAGAGTTATCTTCGTCGATGATCATACGATAAATAATAAAACCTCCAAAAAAACTTCAAGATGAAAACTTTGTTAGGTGAAAAACGGAAGACTATACAATAGTTTGCAATGTCTTACCTTGAGTTTCGGCAAAGTCTTTAAGTTTGGCGGACTCTTTTGAGCACACGAAATTACCCCAGTTCAGGCGGTTTCAGTCCACGTCCTTGATAAAACAGAACAAACACCGACAAATCCGAATTATTAGAAACTTGTTCACTCCGCAACAATTAGTGACATTTGTAACTGACTTCTCCAGGACTGAAGCAACATCTCCCGTAGTTAATCCGAAAACACTATAAAAAGATTTAATACCGTGGAATCCAAGAATTCGCAAACCTCTGGTGAAACAGACCGTGGATCGACAAGTGTTTAAAAAAATCTTAACAGTTGAAGGGACAGCTTGATTGTTATATCATGAATATGTACGACGTAAAGTTTATGACCTCAAGCTAAAACTTGACGAAAGATCAGTTGTTAATTTGTGAGACTGAGCTGTCAAACATCAATCATTCTTTGTCAAAGGAAACCTCCTGGAGATAATGATGGTGAATTTTATTGAAAAACTCTTTCTTCGCGTCAGTGGGACCGTGCGATCATAAAACACGTGGTGCTGACGAACGAACGTAGTGAAAGAGAGATAGTTAACAAGAAATAGTGTTTTCATCCCCGATAAATAGTCTACATCGGTAGAATACATTGAATCAAATGATAATAAAATTAATTAGAATTATTTTAAGAGGGCGAGCCAAAGAAAAGATTTTTGTTAGTGATTAATTTAAAATACATTAGCATAACAATGTTTGTAGCTTCCTTTTTTCGCCACAGCCGGTTTTTTCTTATGAATAACCTCTCGCATTCCTCTGGTCTTAGTTAAACAGTGATAAAAGGGAAGATTAGGGAGTCAGTCGGCTCATCAAACTTGGTTAAAGGCTCAACCTGGTCGGTCACGTCCGCAACATTGAAATTAGACGAAAAACAAAACGAAAGAACTTCACAATCGAGAACAATGAAGTGTGAAGAGAGGAGGCCAAAATTTAGACCTGACTTCTACTGGTAGTTCTAGAAGCTTCTTAAGGATTGCAATTAATAAACTTGTTCTGAACAGTTTTGCCATGACTACCATGGCGATTGCGTCGGTGATTAACAGAATCCTGAGGTATTCTTTGTAACTGAACTTTTTGAGGTTGACAGGCTGACCTAGTCGCAAACAATATCACGTCATTTTCGGTTTGTTCTTTTTATGTTCTTTGTTCATACAAAGGAAATATCATGAGATATCATATAAAGGAATAACCTCTGTTTGTCCACCAAATGTCACAAAATGTACACTTTGAGGTCTTTTTAATAGTTCTTTGCACTTTTGTAAAGAACTCAGCTTTGGAAGGATTGAATTGAAAGTTCCGGTTTGGTTAGTCAATTACTTAAAACAAATCAGTGCTTTTTTTTTCTTTTTTTTTTCAGAAAAAAAGAGGTCCTTTCTGAATAAATATGAGTTCATCTTCATAAACCGATATCATTTCCACTGAGATTTAGGGAAAAATGCTGTTCTTAAAGTCTTTGACACACAACCTTACCGATGTCGTCATGCCACATTGGAGAATCAACAATGAAAAGATTAGCATACGAAAACCTTTGGCCGACCACTTTACTTAGCACAACAATGTTGAACAAACAAATCGCGTCCGATTTTAGGATAACAATTCTGCCAAGCGCTGAAAATAGTTGAGCAATATGAGAAAATTCTACTGCAGTGAGCGCTGTAAATTCGCTACTATCACATTACATACACCAAATACTACATGTTAACTAGTACGAAATAACTCAGCAGTTCTTATCTCGAACATAGTAACAATAAACATCGGTATAGACATATCTCTCTGATAAAACTGATTAACGGTCGGATTTAGCTTTCACATGTGTAGAAACCATATTGCGCATTGTATGAATAACCAATATGTCTGACAGATTTCCGCCATAAGCCCGGATCGGAAATTTGCGTGGTAACTGCCTGCTTTCAGTTTGTGAATTCTATGTCATCGTAAATTAATTAAATTGTAAACGTGGTCAAGGAACCCATTTGAAAATGAAACTGAGACGAAAATTGCGACCATAAGGTGGACCAGATGTACGTCGAACTAGAACCAGTAATAATAATGATAGAAAAAGGAATTCGATAAGTAGTCTTTATAAGCAGTTAAAACTACTATAAAATTACAGTGCGTGTTAACGAGCGCTGGTCAACTGTTTGAGTCAGACGGATCGCAACAAATTACTTGTCAGGAAATTTAGTTATCAGAGTTGAAGATTCTTTTTGCTGAATTAATCCTTATAAGTAACAACAACAAATAAAAGAGCTGAGTCACTTACCTCTAGCGATTATTAACTGTTTTCTCGAAGGATTGCTATTAGGAACAGCTCATCACTTGAAATTCGTGACCGCCTAAATCGCTCTGTTCCCCACACAATAGAAATAGAAGATCAAATGCTTGTTTCACCGGCTTCACAAACTTTTGTCGCTCGAAATGAAAAAAATTTTATCAGACGGAATCACGTTGAGTTCCAAAGTAGTTAACACTCACTTCAGGACACAGAAACCTGCCGTACCAAGTGATAACGGGTTACCTATTGAAGCTGTATCACTTAGTCACAGGAAAAAAATGTGGCTGATAGCTTGTATAAATTACAAGACGCTTGGTCAGCGAGTCTTAACAAACAATAGAGGAGTGGGTACACAAAGTATGCCTGATGACCTCGAAACAAAGAACCAGCCACGCTCGCCCTCGTAACTCAAACAGGTTGAATACTTTTGAATCTTGCGGTAGGTGACTTCCGGTGAGTAAAGCAAACTAGTTCCGGTGAGAAAACAATCGGCATAAACTTGCTAGGTGTACCGACATAGTTTGAGTTTAGATGGGTAACTCACAAATGGCTACTATTATATCATTGCCAGAAGGCTCTTAGTTTTCTCCTCGGGAAGATCTGTTCAATAGCCTCACAACGTCAAAAATTCAGACTTGCTCGGGTTTCTGCTGTCTAACGATTGGAAAGCGGTCTGGATAATGTGAAAATATCGGTAGCTGTTTTAAGGAATAAAGCTAGGAAATATTCGTGCCATTCATGACAAGACATTCACCGCTATGGACTCGTGATTGGGATGTGATTCGTTTGAAAAGATTATTTTCAATCTAAACAAGTCTCCAGTCAGTGTGGGGTCTTGTCAGAAGTGTGTCAGGCATTACTTTGCACGACAGGTTTCCTGTTTTGGCCTATTTATGGCTCTGGGCTCACGCGGATTTCGGATTTGCGCGCGCTCACAGAACTTCGTAAAAAGTACCGCTGAGAAGATTTTTTAAACTTGTACGTTGTACACATGTTTTCGTTTTGATATGGTTGCTTGAGCACGTCTCGAAGGTAGAAACAAGAACACAGTGTTCTTTACCAAAGTCATAGAAGTCATGGAAGTAATAGTCAAAATTTTTAGCTTAAAAACATATCGCATTCGGAAGACTCAACAAATATAGGATGTGTACATCAGTACTCATCCGCCCCCTGCCTACAAACAAATCCAGCCAAAACACGAGTCATTTTGATATGATAAAACAGAGACAACCGTTTGTTCGCAAAACAAGTATTCTTCAAGAACCATTGCATTTTATACGAATCCGATTTGTAAAAATTTGTTAAGTTTATTTCAGCGACCTCATGTGGACCTGATGTGGATATCCATTGCTTTTTTTTTTTATTTTATACTCAGAAGCACACTTACGTACCAAATATCAAATTCGGCGGCCGCACGGAAACTGAGAGGAGCGCGTAGGGTTAGAGAGAGCTATGCGAAGTTCTCGATCGAGCGAAAAAGAAAAGCGTAAATAAGCATAAGAGGGATGTCCTCGGTATGACAAAGGTTCAGATCAGTGGCACTTATTCATCAAATTCCACAAAATAAAAAGGCCTGTAATTGCTGCTATTTAGATCCAAAATTTTGAGCCCCTACAGCTCTCAGCTGTCCCAGAATTACCCCATGACGAAGTCCTAACGTTACAAAAAAACAAAACTTACTTTAATTGGGTTGATTTTCTTGTTTACATTCCACGTTAATTCGTGCTGACTGAAGGATGACTTTAGGCTGAATCAAACGATAGGCATGGTGACCATACAGATATTTTTATTATTTCAGAACCTTCTCTTTAGGCTTATTAACGAAATCTAATTACAAATAGGAGATTATGATGAGCAGGCAGACGTCACGATTTTGAATTCTTCACAAGGATTTTCTCACTGTTGCTTCCATATTTTTGGTTATACAATGACGAAATGAAAATGTTCTGATTTTAAAAATCGCAACAAGCCCTTAATCTGGGATGGAGACCTACACATTGAGTCTCACAACCTAAGAATTTGTTACACATCACATGATTTGAACGATTTGACATCATAACGCAAGTGTATTTCAAATCTTTAAATTTTACCGAGTTTATAAGGTAGTATTAGGCGAATTTACCTCAAGATAAACCTTCTTTGAGCTCGGGAGACCGTATAATCGCTGCTGTAGACTACTTTCCAGTCAGACAATTGTATCCAATCTAGATGTTTCTACCAGCCGCCATGCCGCCGTTTTAGATAGAAAAAAAAATCTTCGTCCAAAGAGCATTTTCCTTCGCGTCTTAAATGTTTCTTTCAGCTAATATACATGAACTCCAAAGGAAAGGCGCCAGATTATTTAGGATCAACTTTTGATCTTAGCAACGTTGACGAAGGTAATTCTTAAGTCTAATGAACTAAAGCACTGACTCAGCCAACTAAAATAACTCTTTCATAGCCCATTTCTGATAAATGGTAGAGAAGAAGGCCCGGCCCATGCCCACTCTTCCATAGCCCTTTAATTTAACCTTTTCTGATAAATGGTAGAGAAGAAGGCCCGGCCCATGCACTAGAACATGGTCGGGAAGCAGCGTACAAGTGACTTAATTCGGCACATAATGTAATTTAGTCACCATAGTTTGAATTACAGTAAAAGAAGGTTTCTTGATTTATTTATAATCGTAGAAAAGGGGTGGGGGGCTCAGTGATAGTCAATGAATTGTCAAACAAAGTAAAGATTCGTAAGATGCACGATTCTCGCAGTGGAGAGCGCTATTTATACAATAGCGAAAATCAGACCTGAAAAAAATCAGACCTGCACGGGATGCGAACCACTGACCTCTGCGATACTAGTGCAGCGCTCCACCAATTGTGCTAACAAGCCAACTGGGAGCAGGCTGTTAAGTTGATTCGTAATAAACCCGTGATGATAAATCAGATACAATGAATATATGGAGTT